ATTGCGCAATACTCAGAGCTACCATTGTGAATTTTTCCAATTTTTTTTGAGATGGCATATTTTCAAGAACTAATTTTTTTTATCAAAAAATTTTTATGTGGAAAATTTTTCAAGAAAAAAAATTTAAAAATATTTTTTCGTAGGGAATTTTGATGTGTGTATGTGTGATTTAATCGATAAAAACGTTTCAATTGCGAATGCATGTTCACTTTGAGCAAATTGTGAGCACTGGTTGGGGAAATCCTCGGTAGATTGGGCAAATCGCTAATTGGGCCCCAATTGGGCCAAAATTAGAGCCCAATTGGGAAAAACTTTTGCTCTGATCGGGCAATCTCAAAAAATGTATAGCAAGGAAATTTTGTCATAATGGGCAACAATTTTTGTGCCCTCAACTGGCACGAAAATCAGCTAGCATCATATAAGTGCATTTACAGAAAAAAAATTATAACTCGAAAACGACGAATTTTAGCATATTGCTACTCGTACTGAAAATAGTTTATACTATTCCCTAATAGACAAAGAAGTTTGAGAGAAATGTGGCAATTTAAAAAAAAAATCAATTTGAAAAAAAAAATTTTTTTTTGTTTATAAACAATAATTACTTATTAATAAACAATTACTGATGTTTAGTTCACTAGATCGATTCAGTAGATCAACATCTGCAATTTAAAAAAAATCGTTAAAATCCTTGCTTTTTTGCGGCAGTTATAAACGATTTCATCAAAAGTTACTATTAAGAGAGGAAAAAAGAAGCGTTCGTACTCAAAAAGAAAAAAATTCATTATTCGAAAAATTCGCATTTCTGAGCAAAAAGAAAAAATCCGTGTCTCCTTAAATTGTTCAAGGAACAATCCCTGTGAGTTTTATCGCAAACTTAAATTCACTTTCCCCCGGCCTGGGTGATTTGAGATGGAATGAGCCATATAGATACGCGTGTTCATAAGTAGATATGAACAGTTATAATTCACAATTGAGCACATTCTGGAATAAAATGTCCCACCAGTCACAATGAATTGACCCATGTATGTATAGAAAATAAATTGTGGTATTCGCGTCCGAAAGACCTTAATATTATTTTTCTTGTGTTGTGATTTGCAGCTGTGCCCAGCGTTGCCGTGTTGTTTAATTTTTTCTAGAATTCCTATCAAACGAAAGCAAAAACAAAAAAAGAAGTGCATGCACTATCGTGAACTACAGAAACAGAAAGAACTTTTCTTTCGACCGCTTGACACCTGAAACATAACCAAATTTGATTTCCCTGTTTTCAGCGTCAATAAGCATAAAAGTATAGTTTAAAAAACTAAAACCTCCCTATTATGTCTAATTGCCATTCGTACTGTCATCAGGTATGTAACTTGAGAATAGAAATCGCTGCATCTTTTAGGCCATCAATATTACATAGCTACATCCCGAGCTAATAAAAGGAAGGTAATAATAAAAAAGTCTGCCTACTCTTCAAATTGCACTCGATTTCGATCATTCTTTTTTTTTTATGTTCGCCATTAATTTAATGTTCACATTAATTTTGCTAGGAGATGCTTTTGTCATTTGAATAGTCGTAAAAGTTTGAAGTGCTAGTATGTACCGAATGTAATTCTGCCATGAAGGCAAGTGCTGCTACATATTTTGTTGTCACTTATGATTGCCCCATAGTGACAAGTTGTTTACGAGACTTACAATTGCTATAAATTTAGCTTCCATTTTCACAGATTTACTGATATGGTGTCTTCAAACTAACCAAAAAAAAGACCAAAAAATGCACTAAGCATCAAACTCAAATATTTTCGTGTTTTGAATTAAAAAAAAAACACTAAATTTAATGCGAAAAGCACAAAGTTGGCAACAGTGTTTAATCCTCCAGGAACACTACTAGTTAAAATCATTTAAGGTTTCACAGATGTTGATATACGTTTACTATGCTTTAAAATACATAAGTTAAAGGCCCTAAGTCTAACTGAACGTTCCATCGAAGATGTTTGAAATTGGGGTAAAAACACCCCTGCTTACCATGTCGCGGTAGTTTTCCGAAAGCCGAAAAAACTACATATAGATAATACGCGCGCCGGGTGTTTAATGTTCGGCTACGCCCGAACTTAGATGTTGTTACTTGTTTATAATATACAACGGATATAGGAACGCTCTTGCTCGGTATAAGGAATCGGACAAAATTTTTGCAGGGAACTAGCAACAAAATATGGTTTAGGAAAAATGCGAAGGTTAAATTGTGGAAATGTTTTTTTAAATTTATAAATCGTAAAATAGTTACAATAAAAGGCATCGGGATCCATAGAAAGAACTATTAGCGGTCAAGTCCGTAGATAGATACACTTACCTTAATGAAAATAAAACAAGTAATATTCATGATAGAACGGTAAACAGAATGCATATAACTGACAATCAGAGACAATAGAAATAAAAGTAAATGGTTGCTCAGCATGATTCAATAATAAAAGGTTTGTTCAGAAAACAGTTTTCTCGCTCTCTCTTGACAAAATCGGCTGCCTTAGCAAGGCACTGTGTGTGGGTTTGTGTGTGTGTGTGCAAAGCTTTTGTAAGGGAGTTAAGGGAGTGTGAAAACTCTAATGTCAATAATGAGCAAACCTTTAATTATTGAATCATGGTTGCGCAGTGCGTTATAAATGAGTTTTTCTTTTAATTATTCCAAATAACGAGTAAAATAACGAACAATTTAAGCATATGCAATTTATTCACGAATAACTCATCAAACGCAATATTGTTTGTTTTTTTCTCAGTGTACAAGTATGTATATATA